AAGTAGCAGCTGGTGGTCTTAAGCTGCTGACCTGTGGATTGCAGCCCAACCCATAACCACAATGCTACCAGCATTCAAACAAACCCCCCGATTTCTAAAGGCTAAGCAAGCACTGGGAAATTAGTGCAATAAGGAATCGCTTATATCACAATCTGTATCACTTTGGAGGCAGCTTAATGTAAAATCATGGCCGTGGAGTCAAGAGAGTCACGGAGCCTCCCACGTGTGTCGGGGTAGAACAGTGTGTCACTGGTTTTCAGTGGCTGTTTCCCGAGGCACCTCTGAGAAGTCTTGAACCGCCGATCTTCTGGTTAGCAGTTTAACGATACATATAATTGACTTTCTTTAGATAACAGGTGTTTACCATTTTGATTCCTATATTAATGTAGATGCCAGGGCTGGTTGTGACCTGTTTTTTGTATTGCACATGTCCCTAAATGACACTGCTCATAACTGCTGATACCGAGACGCTGGACTTCTGATCCCAGAGCAGGGATAGTCAGACGAGGAAACATTTGCTGCCTGTATTTCTACAGATGGAATGACAGGTTATCTTGTTTTATTACAATTCACAGATACTGTGTACTATTATTTTAAAGAAATTAAAGTTTTTTGGCAATCCTGTGTTGAGCAAATTTATCAGCACCATTTCCCTGTGTCATAATTTGTGAATTTTCAAGATCTCCAACTTTTTCATAATGCATATTTAATAAGGTTAAGAAATATATAAACAAAATGCACTGTCATCAAATCAATTCCGACACATAGCAACCCTATATAGAATTTCCAAGGCTGTATATCTTTATGGGAGCAGATAGCCTCGTCTTTCTCCCAGCAAGCGGTTGGTGGGTTTGAACCGCCAACTATACAGTTAGCAGTCCAGTGCTTAATCCTCTGAGGCAGGTCACCACACATAATTTCTCTGACTCATCAATGTCTCTACTGGCTCCCCGAGTCTGGCTGGCGATGAGTGATGGTCCAGAGGAGCAGCAGGAGCCCTGAGCTGTTTCCTCGTCTGAATATCCCTGCTCTGGGATCAGAAGTCCAGTGTCTATGTATCAGCAGTTATGAGCAGTGTCATTTAGGGACATGTGCAATATGAAAATTTCTGCTCTTAGCACCAGTCTTGTGGCGCGATGGAGACATTTCTTCTCTGTGGGTCAGCGAAACAGGAGGATGTCTGAGAGCCTTATTTCGTCACACAAAAGATCATTCAGGGCCGTGAAAGCAAATTCTCATTTGCTGAGGGAAAGGTTCTGAGTTCCACCTTGCTGCTCTCCAGGCTTCCAGACGCTGGTATTTTTACCCCCCTCAGAATAACCCTTTGAAAAGACCTGTGCTGGCCTTTCTGTGGAGAGGGCACTGTCACGCTCGGCAGGGAGTCACCATTAGCATTTGGGAAAGGAGGGACATGCTGTGTGGCATTCAGGCAGGTTTAAGGCAGGCCCTCGGAAGGCTGAGTACCATGGGAGGACCACGGGCCAGTCTCATCAAGGAACCCTGGGTGCCCAAACATAGCGCTCAATCACGAAGACCCCTGGCCAGGGCAGGGTGCTGGGATTCCACAGCTAACTCTTCACAACTTTCTGACTGTTGTGACAAGCAGTATAAGGCGGACTCTAAGAACCAGGAAGAACAAGCAGGCTTTTTACAACATAACCTGCATAAAAGCACTCGTGTCTAAACTCCCTGAGGTAGTTTGCGTCCCGTTTCAGATGTCCTCAATAGAAGACTGGCAGCCTGTTCCCGTGACGCGGTGGTTAAAGCACTCCACTGCCAACCAGTAAGTCGGAAGGTCACACCACCAGCCGCTCTGTGGCCTGGGCCCTACAGAGTGGATCTACATAACCGCTATGAGTTGGCACCAACTCAAGGGCACACAATGAGAACAAGCATGTTTTTATCAAACCTGGGGTAACGAGAAGGGAAGGGAGTCTCGGAGGCAGATGTATTTTTAGGGGGCGGGGGACAGAAACACAAGAAGCAAGAAAGCAAAGCATTCCTGAATGGGAAGGAACATTGGAAACCATCCAATTTGGGAACAGTAGACAGGTTCCATTTCTGGTGTCAATTCCAATGGATAGGTAAGCAGTTGCTTGGGATGCTTGTGTACAGCAGGATTCAGAGGCTGCTTCTGAACCCAACTGGACAGACAGCCCTGATGGCAGAGCAAGACTGACAGGGGCTCAGGACTGAGCAGGGACAGTGCCTGTATCTTCTGTTGGCCGCAAGATCTACCCACGCTTCCCTGATGATAAAGTTGAGCCTCCGAGAATAAAAGGGGTTTCACTGGGTGAGGAAACGATGGCACAGGAAGCAAGAAGGAAAAGGACAAAAGAGGCAGGGCTGGTGGTGTGAGGGGATGTTGTGTGTGTGTGTGTGTGTGTGTGAAAGAGAGAGAGAGAGAAAGCTACTGTTTTCACTGAAGAACATCGTCCCTTTGAAACCACTGTCCACAGAGGACTGAGAGGGGGCAAGAGAACGGGGAAATGACTCTGGCCAACTAGATTGGAAGCTCTGCTGAAGCCTGTGCACCCTGGGTGCACCTGCCAGTATCTGAAATGCCAGTGGCATTGCTGCCAGCATCACTACAACACAACAAGACGCCCTGTACGACAAACCGAGTCGGTACCCATTAGATAGGAGGTGTAGGGCCCTTGGGAGAATCCGTACACCATCCTAGGGATTCATTTTGCAGGAGATCATTTGCCCTTTTTTGGCCAAAAGAGTGGTAGCTTCTCTCACTGGGCAAAAGCCTTTCCAGACTGGTCCCTGAAAGCATCGTGCGTAGTGATGCCTGTTGGTTGCCATGGTGAATGATGCTGATCTGAAGAAATGAATAATGTGAGCGCTGGGGCGAGAGAGGGGATTACTCAGACAGTAGTGAGAGAGCCCACGGCAGCAGAGGAGGCGAGAAGACACCTTTCCTGGCCTGGGTCCACTCTGCCTCTGAGGTTGAGCTTCTGCGTGACACACTCTCAGGTAAGAGGCATGAATGGCGCCCATGGAAATGTGAATAGCTTTGCCTTTCACTCTGGCCTTGGAGGAGGGCCAAACAGGGATGGGGGGATTTAGGAGCAGGCACGGTAGACGAAAAGCCAATAAGCCAGACTAATTTGGTCCTAAAACCTGAGGATACTGCTAGTGTCCTGAGTAGCATTTTCAGAGGAAGCTCTGAGAAACGTCTGCGGTAGGGGACTCAGCCGGCACAGGCAGCCAGCTCCAGGTGCAGGGCAGATCGGAGGCAAGATTCGTGACCAGAAACGGAATTTCTGAAGGAAGGATTTTACAAGGCGCTTGCCCATGTATCATAAGGAATGGCTTAAGCTTTTTAATATTGTGGCTGGAAGGAAGTTATAGGAACGTGTGGGGTGTGGAGGGCGGGGAGGTGTGAGTGGAGGAGACCCAAAGAGGACGCAGATCACTTAGCTCCATTTGAAACAACCATCCTCAGAAGGGTCTCCATATACCTGTTTAGTCCCTCCCATTGCCTATTTTCCGGGGAAGAAATTTCCAGTCAAGTGGAAAAAAGAGCTCTTCCCCTTCCCGGGCATTTAAATTCATTGCCGTCTTTAGAGATAAAAAACAAAGGGCTGAAAAAATTACTCTATGCTGTGTAGCCCCCTGCATAGGTCCTCTCGAGATAATGGCACCGATAGTAGTGGGAGCACAGCAGGGGAGAGAGAAAGGCAGCTCATAATAGAAATCAATTCAGCTTCACGGCCAATTCAGGTTAAAATACTAGCAACGGGGTTTTCCTCTGTTCCCACAATCGAAACCAAGACCCGGATTTCACAAGAGAGAGAACAGAGCAGGGCGAGGCAACCAGGCACACATGTAGATGACGGTCTCCTCACTGTGGAACGGGGGATGCTGTGGAGGAGCTGTGATCTCTCGAGTGGACAGAATTCACGGGCGACTGAAAAACCGTGGGCACAGCTCTCTCCAGCCAAAGTGATGGGACTGGCAATCTAAAGAGGGTCCATGTGAGCTATCTGGGTGAACAGCAGCTGCGTCTGGAGCATCCCGGCATCCTCCCTCTCTGAACCCAGCAGCCCCCCACTTGGAAGCCAAGCGGGAGAGTAGCCTTGAGCCTTAGTTTTCCTTATTCGCTGAATGACCACGATTGCTTACCTGGAAAGTGAATAATAAAGGAAATTTTATGGTGGCATGCTGGGCACCTGCGCAGCCCAAAAAACAGAGTCTGCTCGCTAACTCTTGCTAGTTACTATTTATAGTGCCAGCACTAGTGGAGAGCAGTTATGTTGGGGTGATGAGCTGATTGCCCGGGCGCCCTTGGCTTTGGGAAAACAAATGATACGTGCCCAGAGGCGTTAGGGGGAAGCCAGCTGCCAACCAGTGGTGAGGCAAACCTCCTGTCATGGTGGCCATGGCGTTTGGGAGACCAAAAAACGCAGCGGGTAGAATCGTCTAGGTACCTGAACTCATGTCACTTGGAGCAGAAGCAGCCCCAGGAGGGGCATTTCAGTGGGACTGCTGCTTCACTGATGTCACTGGCATGGTGACAAAGGTGGGGGTCCTCTGGGGATCTGGTTTATTTTCCCTTTCTTTTTTTTAAAGGGCTGGGGATGATGTTGGATCTAAAGGACCCAAGCCAGAGTGGGATGACCTGAAAGCCACCGGTTGGGGCACAAAACAGTCCCCAATTGATCTCTCGTCTTGCTACTACTTAGCTATGCTGTCCTAAGGAACATAGCGTCAGGTCTCTGTCAACCAGGGGCCGTCTTACTTTCTATAAAATACTCAGTAACGGTGATGTGGTCATAAGTAAGGAGCCCTGGGGGGGACTAGTTAAGGCATTGGGCTGCTAAAGAGTTGCAGCCTCAGAAACGCACAGGAGCAGTCGTGTTGTGTCCTGTTGGCCGTCCTGAGTCAGAACGGACTGGACAGCAGTGGGTTTGGCCTTGGGTTCTGGAATGATCGTAGGTGCTCCGAGAGGGGAAGTCACTCTTCGCTTTGATTCTGGTTCTAGAATCGGGATGAACATCGAGGTTGGGAATGTGTCTTATACGGGAGCCATCATTTCCTGGTCGTCCTCGGAGCCCTGCCTGGAGGACTATTACCATGTCATGTATAGGCCCAATTGGAACAGCATCTTCTCTGGCTATCTTCGCTACAGCTTCCACCACGAGGAGAAGGTGCCTCGAACCATCAGCTCTATGGTGCTTCAGCATCTGGCTCCCTCCACTCTGTACTTCCTGTGCATCAGCTGCAAGAAGGCCACCTTTCCCTACAGGCACGACTGCACCATGTTCCACACCTTGGACAAGAGACCTCTGGCCTCAGGAAGCTCCCTGGTGGACCCCCAAATCTCCCTTTGGGTGCTGATGGCCATCCTGCTAGCCTGTTTCACGGCTGTCTTAGCTTTCATCTGCCTCCAGTTCTGGTGCATTCGCTGCCATGAGCCTCGGTGGTCTTACCGTGCTGGCCACATGGAGGAGGCCAACGGGTTAGTGAGATGGCCTGAGGAGGCACTGGCTCTGGGTCCACGGGAAGAAGACCTGCAGGGGCTCCCCCTGGTGGAGATGGCACGCAAGAACTCGGGCGCGGCTGCAGAACCAGAAGGGGAAGCTGCCCAGAGTGCTCCTGAAGACATGGGCGGTCATCCACCGGCCAGGCTGCTTGAGTATGGGCAGTGAGAAGCAGGGAAAGAAGCAACCCACACCACGTAGCTCAAACCCTGCATACAGTAGGTCTTTTGTGGGAAAAAATGTCTCTCACGTACCCCCTTCTTACCCCTCATGTCAGTGCTCTTGTGGAAGAACTGGATGGGTGACTGCTCTAAGACGAAGCTTGTCAGACAGGATATAAAGATATACCCTCAGGTGTGCTAACAGCGCACATCGTGAGACACAGTTAAGAATTAAAGCATTATTTGAAACTGAAAACAGTGGATAAACTATGGAGGCAAACGGGAGATTTGCATGACAGAAAATAAAGCACAGTACTTAGAAGACAATTGTGAGTTGCAGGGGCCCCCTCTTTGAGCTGTACTTTCAGTCCGCTGGACAGATATGCAATCTACTCTCCATTCGGGGAATTATGATAGAAAAGTGTGAGAAGCCTAAAGTTTCCAAATCCCAGACAGTTGCATGCCACCTTGTACATGTTTAAACATAGATTGTCTTTCCAGTGAATACTTCTCATGAGAGCTACTCCTTTGTTACACTTGAAATTATGCTTTAAAGACAGCATTGTACGACTCCACTAATAAATAATAAAACCCAGTATTCTCCTGCTGCCAGCAGAAGGGAAGAACTCCAGGAATAAATGCAATGTCAACAAGTAACCGCTACCGGCACACAGGATCACTGGAAGATCTTCCAACCTCCCCACCCCCACCCCCCGCCCCACCTTTGGGCTCAGCTGTGGAGAACTCATCTGGGTTAATCACATTTCCAAAGCAAGGCCTCCCTGACCTAGAGAGGTACTTTTTCTTACATGTGAATACTTAGACTGTCAGCTCCTCTTCTAAATAGATTTGTGCTTTCTTTTTGAGAACAGGACCAAGGGAGACTATTTGTATAACACTGCAAAGGAAAAAATGTTGGCATCATCTTTGTTGATCTATTTCGCCCATTCAGGGGTACTCTTCAATAAATTCTGTATAGCCCCCATACAGTAAGAAGCATAGCCCTTCTAGACTAGGGGTGTCGGCGAACATTTGTGTGCACTGTCTCCCTGGCCGCCATGGCTATGGAAATCAGCCCGAGGAGGGTAGAGATCTCTTTATCCTTGGTGTGTCTCCTGCATGTGGAATCTCTGACATTCTGTCGGGGCTTCATAGATGTTTGCTTCGTGAATGGCGGAACAGACTGCCTGGACTAGAACAGGGCTACCAATTCGAGAGGGCTTGCTTAGAGCAAGCGCGGCTGAGAGACAGAAGTCCTGTTGCTCAACCCTGTCTCTAGAATCCCTTTCAGAGCCCCACACACCCAATTGCTTCCTGCCTGGTGTTTATGGAGCACAAGCCCAGAACCAGAAGAGGAAGGACCCCGCGAGGAACCAACTGGAGAACAGGAGGAAAGTGGGAGCTGAGCACCCCACTGTCCCTGCCCGGGCTCCTGACCTACCAGTCCTGTGTTTGCTCCATCCCTACTATTTGTGAACAAATAAAGGTGAATATACTCAAAGTTTTTTCTGCCTGGCTCTCACTGTTGTCTCGTCATCTCCACATCGTATTGCTTTTCTGATTCAGCGAACTCTTTTCCTTTTAAAAGGAACTTTCTGACAAACTTTCCGACAGGTGGGCAGAGTAGCAGGGTGACTCACCTTGGATCCGTAGAGGTAATACGGCTGGACATTAGCGGGTTTATCTCTTTGCGGTTCTTGGGTGAAAGGAATGGCTGTTCGGACAAAGCTGAGGGAAGAGAAGAGATGGGGCAGAAGTTAACTGGGTCTCAATACTGTTTTTGGGACATGACAACGCGGGGGACCTTCTTGGGCAGGTGCACATTCACAGTGGTGCAGCAGCACCCGTAGAAGGTCGCCTAGAACGGTTTGAAAGTCCTCTGTCACCCTCTCACTCAGCTTCTGTAGCCTGTCCACAGATGGAAAAACAACAGGCAGGTTCACAGGCTTGATTGGCAGCTATGGCTACGCAGAAGGTGAGCAGGCTGGGCCTGAGATGGGCCCTTCTGCAGGACTCCATGCCTTCAGCCCCTTGGTTTATCAAGAGCAAGGAGCAGGGGAGCGCTGCTAAAGCCTCGATTGTGATGAGAGTCATATGAGCCCCTAATAAAATGATTCAAAAAAAAGATTAAGGGGGAAAAAAAAGACCTACATTATCAGAATCTGGAATTAAAATGACAATTGCTGTCAAGTCATCTACAAGTCATGGCAGCCCTATATGTGTCAGAGTTGGACTGTACAGAAGACGGTTCCCCCTACATTTAAATTATTTTTGTTATTGCTGAGAATAAACACAGTAAAACACTAAAAAAAAAAAGCCTAGACCACTGATTCCCAAGCTTATTTAACTCTTATTACTTAATTTGACTTATGATTCCCTTTTCAGAAAATAAAAAAAATTTACTCGGTGCTTGCTCCCTTGGCAATTAGAGTTTTTACTACAGGCCATAGTCCAGGATAGAGGGTAGGTATGGCTTTTGTAGCCCCCCCTTGGTTCATTCCAGCGCCTGCCCGCCCCCCCGCCCCCCAAGAAGTGGCATTGCTCACTCTGGGAAACCTGGGAAACACTGGCCCAGAGAGTAAATGTTTTAGGTTCTGTGGATCATACAACGCCTGTTCCAACTACTCAATTTCTACATTGGCAGGGCAAAAGCAACCACAGAAAATATATAAGCAAATGAGTGTGGTTGCATTCCAATAAACTTTGAAAATTTCAAGTAATTTTCATTTGTCACCCAAAATTATTCCTCTCCTTTGGACTTCTTTCTTTCAACCATTAAAGACGGCCGTCATTCTTAGCTCAGGGCCTGTACAAACACGGGCGGCAGGCTGGATATGGCCCGTGGCCTGACAGGTGCTGACCTTTGCTCAAGAGAGTCACGTGTTTCAAATCCTCAGAGAAGTAAAAGGCAGCTTTGCTGAGTGTGGGGGCTCAGGTCCCTTTGTGAAATCCTCCCATACATTTCCATCTATTCAATACATACTTATTTACATAAACTACCAAATAGACTGCTATAGAAGAAAGTCCAACTCAAAGTGACCCTATATGTGATTTCCTAAACTTGGGTTTGTATAGCGGAGCTTGAGGCTAGTAGCCCACCGTCTAACGAAAGCACCCCCACAGCTCCTTATGGATCTGGAGAGGACCTCATATGTGTCCGTGTTTGTGCACCCTTGCTTACTAGGGTGGTGGCTTTCCTAGGTGGTACAAACGGCTAGCATGCCTAGCTGCCAACCCCAAATCTAGAAGTTCGAGTCCACCTTAGAAAAAAGGTCTGACACACTACTTCCGGAAAATCAACCATTCAGATCCCAAAGGAACATACAGGTGGGCTTCAGAAAGTTTGTGGGGAAATTCCATTCTCCTTTAATCCTCTTCTTCCACGACCTTTTGGAAGTCCCTTCCGAGTTCTACTCTGACACATCCAGGTTACCGTGAGTGGGAGGCAACTCCACCACGCCTGGCTTGAGGTCTTTGTGTACATTGTCTCGCCTCTCCAGCCAGGTTCAGAGCCTCTAAGGAGTTTGGGAATTGCCGCCACCTTGGTGGCTGGCCCAGGGCCCTTCCCTGGGGTGGAAGACATGTTCCCTTTAGTCCTGTGTAGGTGGGCTCTGCAAAGGCACACCTGTTTCACACACATGGGTTAGGACAGTCTGATCACGTGATTTCCTGCCTTGCATTCACCCAAGGCTCCTAAATGCCTGCTCCTGATGTCCTGCAGCTTTCCCCGTCTGCTACCTCTTGTGACCTGCCTTCCCTTTCACGCTGCCAAGTCCCATCCCAGGCGGTTGGCTCACCCTCGCCAGCCTCGCCCATCCCCATCTCTCCTGCTGCGTCACCTTGTTTCCACCCACTCCTCCTTCACATCTCAACCCAAGCGTTACCTCCTCTGCGCAGCCTTCCTGAGGGTCCCATCCTCTTCCAGGGCTAGATTGCGGGGGCCCTGTTACCCTCCCACGATTCTGTGAGCCTTCCATCACCTGCTTGTCCACTTCCTGTGACATTTGTAATGTAATTGATTGACCCTGGGCTCCCTCCTGAGGGCTCCAAGAGGCTCACTGAGGCATCCCCGGCCTGCAGCGTGGAGCCTGCACCAAGCAGAGGCTCATGAAACACCATTGTAGAAATGAACCAATGTGCACTGGGTCTACTTTGGAGGAGGCAGGAGGTTACTCCCCTGACCCATTGCCCTAGTCCCCTTTGCCCAGGGAATCCCTTACCGGTTAGTGGAGCCATTGTAGCAGTAGTTGGGGAGAAAGTCAAAGTTCAGTTCCCAGAAAACATGCAGGGTGATCCGGCCATAGGGGGCAGACACGTTGTGATTGGCCTCCCGGAACATGGCATCGAAGCTGTCCAGGGTCATGTGCTTACACAGCAGGCGGTGTGTGAGCCGGTTGATCTCCAGCAGCCACTCCAGCTCCTGCCCAGAGAGAACCAGGGCTGGGGTGTCAATATGCCATCTTACAGAGCCCTCCCTGCAGCTGTGAGAAGCCCCCGAGCTTTGAGCCACATACACGGGGGCCTGGGCCCTCCCACTGACATGCAAGCACATTCCTTTCTCCTAAGAAGCTGAAGGCATTGCCAGATGATGCTGAGGGGGCTGCCTGTCTGCTCTGGGAATGAGACCGTATCCCACGTGCTCATCCCTGATTCAGCTGGAAGGTTTTCTAGGTTCTGTGCTGCTGATGACAAAGCTTGCCTCTCAGTGTTCCCAGGAAAGCAAGAGAATGTTATGGCTGACGATCACTAATGGCTGCATTTCTGCCCTTCAGAAGATTATAATAAGAGCTACCATCTAGCTATTTACTGCTAGATGAAATCTTATCTATTTGCTATTTTTAGATAAAATTCAGTCGAGTACCAGCAATTGTGCGTGGTTGAATCTAGAATGCGGATTCTAAGCACTGTGCTGTTAGGTGCCCTTGAGTCTGTTTGGATGCAGAGTGGCCCAATTTCCACCAGAATGAAACATCCTGGGCCCGCTCACAATCCTTCTTCTGTTTGGGCCCTTTGATGCAGCCCGTGTCAATCTATCTTTTTTTTTTAAATCATTTTATTAGGGGCTCATACAACTCTTATCACAATCCATACACACATCAATTGTGTAAAGCGCATTTATACATTCATTGCCCTCATCATTCTCAAAACATTTCCTCTCCACTTAAACCCCCGGCATTAGGTCCTCATTTTTCCCCTCTCTCCCCGCTTCCCTCTCCCTCATGAGCCCTTGATAGTTTATCAATTGTTATTTTGTCATATCTTGCCCTGTCCGACGTCTCCCTTCACCCACTTTTCTGCTGTCCGTCCCCCAGGGAGGAGGTCACATATAGTTCCTTGTAATCGGTTCCCTCTTTCCTACCCACTCTCCCTCTACCCTCCTTGTTTCGCCACTCACACCACTGGTCCTAAAGGGATCATCCGCCCTGGATTCCCTGTATTTTCAGTTCCTATCTGTACCAGTGTACATCCTCTGGTCTAGCCAGACTTGCAAGGTCGAATTTGAGTCATGGTAGTGGGAGCGGGGAGCAAACATTTAGGAACTAGAGGAAAGTTGTATTTTTCATCGTTGTTACATCGCACCCTGACTGGCTCATCTCCTCCCTGAGACCCCTCTGCAAGGGGATCTCCAGTGGCCTACTAATGGACTTTGGTTCTCCACTCTGCACTCCCCCCATCATTCACTATGGTAAGATTTTTTGTTCTGATGATGCCTTATACCTGATCCCTTCGACACCTTGTGATTGCATAGGCTGGTGTGCTTCTTCCATGTGGGCTTTGTTGCTTCTGAGCTTGATGGCCGCTTGATTCAAAAAGTATAGCATCTGGGGTCTTACAGGCTTGAAGGTAATCAAGTGTCCATCTATCTTAGCAAGGGCCTTCCTCTTTCGCTGCCCTTCCACTTTAGCAAGCATGATGGCTTTTTCCAAATGGGCCGCTCCTGATACAGGAAAGTACATGAAACCATGTCTTCCCCTACTTACCTCTGAGGAGCATTGTTTGAGCTGTACTTCTTCCAAGATAGAGTAGTCAGTTCTTTGGCAGTTCAATACACTTTCAATATTCTTTGTCAGCACCATACTTCAGGTACATGGATTCTTTTTTGGATTTCCTTAGTCAATGTACAACTTTCACATACATATGAGGCAATGGAAAATAGCATGGGACAGGTACATCTTAGTCCTTAAAGTGACCTTGTTGCTTTTCAACACTTTAAAGAGATCTTGTGCAGCAGATTGGCCCAATGTAATGCATCATTGTATCTCCTAATGAATACTTCCATAAACATTGATTATGGGTCCAAGCGAGACAAATCCTTGATGTCAATCTTTTCTCCATTCATCAGGACATTATTTATTGGTCCAATTGTGAGGATTTTTATTTTCTTTATGATGAGTTGCAATCCATACGGAAGGCTGCAATCCTGCATCTTCATCAGCGAGTGCTTCAAGTCCTCCTCACTTTTAGTAAGCAAGGTACTGTCACCTGCATATTGCTGATCGTTAATTCAGCTTCCTCCAATCCTGATGCTGCTGTTTTCTTCATCTAATGGCGTTTCTCTGATAACTTGCTCACCATACAGACTGAATAAGCATGATAAGAGGATTCAACCTTGGGGCACACCTTTCCTGATTTTAAAAAAATGCAGTATTCCCTTGTTCTGTTCCCACAATGGTCTCTTGATTCATGTGCAGGTTCCACATGAGCACAATGAAATATTCTGGAATTCCCATTCTTCTCAAGGTTATCCATACTTGGTCATGACCCATACTGTTAGGATGCCTAGGCACAGTCAATAAAACAAAACTAAGCATCTCTCGGATGTTCTCTGCTTTCAGCCAAGCTTCATCTGACATCAGCAATGATATCCTGTTCCGTGTCCTCTTCTGAATCCGGTATGAACTTCTGGCAGCTCCCTGTCAATGTACTGCTGAAATATCTTCAGAAAAATTTGATGTGCATGTGATATTAGTGATATTGTTCTGTAACTTCAGCATTCTGCTGGGCCATCTTTTTTCTTCAATGGGCAGAAATATGGATCTCTCCAGCCGCTTGGCCAGGTAGCTGTCTTGGCCAACTCTATTGGCATAGACGAGTGAGTGCTTCATTTCAATTGGCATTCCACCAATTCCTGTCACCTTGGTTTAGCTAATGCCTTCAGTGTAGCTTGAACGTCTTCCTTCAGCATCATTGATTCTTGACCATACGCTACCTCCTGAAATAACTGAATGTCAACAAGTTCTTTTTGGTACAATGTCTCTGTGTATTCCTTCATCTTTCATCTTTCAATATTTTGCTCAATATTGAAATCTTTCAATATTGCAACTTGAGGCTTGAATTTTTTCTTCAGTTCTTTCAGTTTAAGGTTTGGTGAGTGTGTTTTTCCTTTCAGGCTTTCTAATGCTAGGCCTTTGTACATTTCACAATTTTACTTTGTCTTTTTGAGCTGCCCTTTGAAATTGTCTGTTCAGCTCTTCTGACTTCATTGTTTCTTCCATTTGTCTTCGCTACTCTACGATTAGGAGCAAGTTCAAAAGTTTCTTCTGACATCTGCTTTGATCTTTTCTTTCCGTTCTTTTAAATAACCTTTTGCTTTCTTCAAGAATAATGCTCTTGATGTCCTCCCATAGTTAATCAGGTCTTCTATCACTAATGTTCAGTGCATCGAATCTGTTCTTGAGATGTTCTTGTTTTAATTTTCTTCAGCTTCAACCTGAGCTTCCATAGGAGCAATGATGGTCTGTCCCACAGTCAGGCCCTGGCCTGGTTTTAGCTTCTGAGACTGAACTTCTTCATCATCTTTCCCACAGATGTAGTCTCTTTCTGGGTACCCATGTAAAAAATGGCCTTATCTGCGATAAGGAAGCTTCCCGTCTTGTAGAATTCTATCACGTGTTCGTTCTCCAGCTCTGTCTCCATCCCGGAGACCAGAGTTTCCCTCCAGTGTGGCTTCCTCTTTGTTCCCGACATTTGTCTTCCGATTGCCAATAATTACCAATGCATCTTGACTGCACGTCTGACAATTTCGACTGAAGGTGTTGGTAAAATTCTTCAATTTGTGCACCACTCGCTTTAGAAGTTGGTGCATAAATTTGAATAATCGCTGTATTCGCTGGATTCCCCAGTATGTGGATAGATCTTACCCTGGCACACACAGCACTAAGAGATCTTGAAAGGTCCTTTTTGACAACGAATCTATCATTCCCGGCACAGTAAATCGCATGACTGGCAGATTCAAAATGGCCAATACCGGTCCATTTCAGTTCTTTATCACCTGGGATATTGATCTCTGTGCATTCCATTTCACTTTTGATGACTTCCAGTTTTCCTAAATTCACATTTTGCACATTCCAAGTTCTGATTATTAATAGATGTTTGCTGAAGAAAGCAGATGGTGCCCGGCTATCAAAAGATATAGCGTCTGGAGTCTTAAAAGCTTGAAGGTAAACAAGCGGCCATCTAGCTCAGAAGCAACAAAGCCCACATGGAACAACATATCAACCTGTGTGATCACGAGGTGTTGAACGGATCACTGAAGACAAAGGGGTGCATAAGCAGATGTGGCGAAGAAAGCTGATGGTGCCCGGCTATCAAAAAGTATAGCATCTGGGGTCTTAAAGGCTTGAAGGTAATCAAGCGGCCATCAAGCTCAGAAGCAACAAAGCCCACATGGAAGAAGCACACCAGCCTATGCAATCACTAGGTGTCGAAGGGATCAGGTGTAAGGCATCATCAGAACAAAAAATCTTACCATAGTGAATGATGGGGGGAGTGCAGAGTGGAGATCCAAAGCCCATTAGTAGGCCACTGGAGATCCCCCTGCAGAGGGGTCTTGGGGAGGAGACGAGCCAGTCAGGGTGCAATGTAACTATGATGAGAAATACAACTTTCCTCTAGTTCCTAAATGTTTGCTCCCCGCTCCCACTACCATGACTCGAATTCGATCTTGCAAGTCTGGCTAGACCAGAGGATGTACACTGGTACAGATAGGAACTGAGAATCCAGGGAATCCAGGGCGGATGATCCCTTCAGGGCCAGTGGTGTGAGTGGCGAAACAGGGAGGGTAAAGGGAGAATGGGTAGGAAAGAGGGAACCGATTACAAGGAACTATGTGACCTCCTCCCTGGGGGATAGACAACCGAAAAGTGGGTGAAGGGAGACATCGGACAGGGAAGATATGACAAAATTCCAATTTATAAACTATCAAGGGCTCATGAGGGAGGGGGGAGCGGGGAGGGAGGGGAAAAATGAGGACCTAATGTCGGGGGTTTAAATGGAGAGAAAATGTTTTGAGAATGATGTACAAATGCGCTTTACACAATTGATGTGTGTATGGATTGTGATAACAGTTGTATGAGCCCCTAATAAAATGTTTTAAAAAAAAATAGATGTTTGCAGCTGTTGATTCTCATGTCCCCCCAA